GGCCCCGCCCTCGGTGACATATCCTGCGGCGCAGCTAAGCGCCTCATGCAGGTCGGCTGCCTCGCTGCTGAGACCCCGATGGCCTCGGTCCACGGCTTCCTCGAGGGCTCGCTCCAGAGTGAGCCGCTCCCCGCGCAGGCGCGCCCCCAAGACGCGCCCGCGCACGTGGCTCTGCAAGTACTCGCTGGCTCCCTTCAGAGGTGCGAAGATGCCCTCGGCTTCGAGCTCCTGCATGAGTTTGAGGCGAAGCTCCGGCCCATCACCCGCGGGCTGGGCGTCCCAAGTGGCCGCCGCGCGCGGGCGGTCGTGGTCTTCGAGCCATCCGAAGTCGGGGCCCTTAACCGCTTCCCGGAGGTCAGATTCCATCGCGGTAAGCTGGAGCGCGGTGTAGTCGTCCGGGGCCTGCCCCGGGCCCGGGTCGCCCGCTGCTCGCGAGCCGCCGCCACGGCCCCGGCCCTTTTCCTTCTGGGAGTCAGGGGGAGCAGGTGGGGAAGTGTCCTCGCCAACCTTCTCGGCCTCGGCTGCCTTGGCTTGCGAGCGCAGCTGCGCAATCATCCCATCCCCCTGCTTGGGATCGATCCGGGGCGTCCCAAGGAGCCCCCCGCGCCTCGTGAGCTGCATGACTACCGAGTAGTCCAATCCGCGCGTTGACTTGATGGGGTCATGGGAGTTAGGGCAATCGCAAGCCTTCCGCGAGCAGCCCATGTGCGTGGTGGCCCCCCAGCAGATAGGGACGTTGTCTTTATTGCGGGGCGCATGCGCCACGGATCGCGCCCGCTCCGGGCGTGTTAGTTCCTTGCCCGCTGGGTACGCCCTCTTGGGGGCTGTCCCCGCTGGGGCCCCGGTGCCCGCCTTGGGCCCCGCCTTCGGCTGGGGCCCAGCCCCCGCCTTGGGCCTGTCATCCCCCTGCGCCGTGGGCCCGGGATCGCCCATTTCTTCGCTCCCTCCCGCTTTGGGCGGTCGCTTCGTGAGGTGGGCGTTCAGCTGCCCATTGAGGAGGCGCGTGAGTGCGGCCTTGCGCCGGGGCACGACCACCTGCTGGTAGTAGGCGTTCGGGTCCCCGAGGTCGAACGTTCGGGGCAAATCGTAGCCGTTCTCCGGCATGAGTAGGATATACTTGATGTCCTCCCTCCTCGGGTTCTCGGTGTCGAGCTCTCGACAGAGTCGGCGCCTCAGCTCCCGCAATTCCTCGACCCAGGTGCGTCGGAGCTCTTCCCACAGATCCTTGACCCAATGGTCTGGGAACTCCGATGGGTCCCTCTCGAAGGCCGCCTCCAAGAACCCCAACGACCGCCGACGCTCCGCCCCGTGTGCGACCCCTATGATGGACTCGAACATCTTGATCTCGCACCGGGCCCTCTTGAACCAGGTCGCCATGTGGGTGGCGGGCCGTTGGCGGGGCTCCAGCTTGTCGTCCACAAGGAGCCGATGGCCATCGAAGTCCTCGTCACGCGCGGGGACGCAGTCGTCCACCGCCAGGTCGTGAGGGCCCGTCCCGAAGGCGAGCGCCGCGTAGCCGTGTGCCACACGGTTGGTAACCAGGCAGGGAAACCCGATCGTCTTGAGCGTGCTCTTGGAGTGCGCACACATGCGCGTGAGTGAGTCGAACAAGTCCTTCCCCGTGATACCCTCGCAGGCCTCAACCACGAAGGTGTTGCATCCCCGGGCTATGTAAAGATCGAGTTCCTCGTCCCGACCGATCCCTGCCCTGGTGCCCCGGGCCTTCTTGTCGCCCTCGGCGGCCCGCGCCTGCCGCTCGGCGGCGAGGACGTGGCGTTCAGTGAGACGGTTCTGGCGATCCAGGCGCTCGATAATCTGGGCTTCGGCCTCGACTGTAAGCCCGCCCAGGGCGCCCGCCGCCCCGGCGTCGTCTGGACCCCCAGCTCGCTCCCCACCCAGGCCGCCCCCGTGGGGCGTCTGGCCAGTGAGGTGGCCAAGGACCGAGGCCCCGTCGAGGAGCGGATTGGCCCCGCGAGCGGCCCCCCCGCGTCCATCGCGTGCCAGCAGGTCCCGATCACCCAGCAAGCCCCGTCGTGGGCCCGTGGGTTGGATGGGGGGCATGGCACCGAAGAGCTCGCGTCGGGGTCCCTGCTTCGGGCTGGGATCCCGTCCCCGCGCCGAGCGACTCCGCGACCCCTCGTGAGAGGCTGCCCTGCAGGGGAACCTTGTCGGCGGCCGCAGCACGCTCCCGCGCGCGCGCTTCCAGCTGCGCATCCTCCAAATCCGCGAGGGCGCGCTCTAGGTCGGACCCCAGTGGGCCCGCCGCTGCCACCTGCGCGACCCTCCGCCGCAGCTGCCGCTCCGCCTGATCGAGCGGAACCCCGAGCAGGTCCGCGGCCATGCCTAATGCACTGAGGGCCGCCGCTTGGCCCCCCCGTCCCTTGAGATCCTCGGCTCGCAAGGAATCCATGAACATTTCGAGTGGGTCGGGCCCCTCAGCATCCTCGCTCACACCGGCGGGGGCCGCCGCTAAGCGCGACGATGCCGCCACGGGGGCGGGGCGGGGCAAGCCCTCCATCCCGGGCGCAGGCTGCGCACGCTGCGCGCCGCCCCGCCGATGGTGGCCGAGTGCGCGCACCGGGTCGTGCTGCAGCTGCTGGCGCTCCGTGTTCGTCAGGTAGCGCCGCCTCCAGCCGCTCGCGCTTTCCACGCCCACACCGCCCCACTGCTCCTGGCGTAACATCGCCAGCAGATCCTGCGGGATGTGGTGGGCGATGACACGCAACCCCACTTCCCGAGCCCCTTGGGGGACCTCGTACAGCAGCCGAGTGATCCAATCTATCGGGTAGCGCCCGTCCTCCAGCGGGGGGGGGTGCCGTACGACCTCGCTGGCTGGGACCTCCACCCTGACGCCCTCGAGGCTAGTCCCGATGATAAGTCTGGCGTCCCCGCCAGTGCCCCGTGCGTCGAGCCCCTCGCATTCTCCCAATAGAATAAACCAAGGACTCGCCGGGGGCGCGCCGTACGCCTCCTCGGCCCCCCGAGGGTCGCCCGGAAGTATCGGGCAGACCTTCACGAGTAGGGGCTCCTGAAGCCACCCGTGATGGGCGATCCGATCGCCCGGGGCTCCGCGGTCGGCAGACCGTGAGCGTCCGCTGGCCCTAGCTTCCGCGGAGCGTGTGCGACGCGGCTGCGGCCCAGAGGCTAGGGCCTGCGCCCCCGTGGGCTCCACATCGACAGATGGGGCCACGGCGGGCGGTGGCGGTGCAGCGGGGGGAGGTAGAGGCGGGGGGAAGACCGGCCCGGGCGCTATGCCAACCCCATCGGCAGCGTGCGCGGTCCAATCGCGCGCCCTGGCGGGGCTTGGAGCCCGCGCCCGCATGCGGCGGCGCAGGCCCCCGAGGATCCCAGGTTGGACCGTCGCCTCGACGCGCACGGTGTGGCCCTCGTCCCGTCGGAGATGTTCCCCGCACATCGGGGCCCCCCCGCAGCTACCCTTCGCCATGCGGAGACAAGTGGGGAGGCTGCACTTGCGGCCGATCAGGGTAGACCGATACTTCTGCGCGTGGTGGGCGCAGAGGTGCACCTGTGCATTGAGACAATGCCCAGGCCGAGGAACGTCCGACACCTCCGCGTCCTCCTGTAGCAGGACAGTGGCCTCCTGCATCCCTCGGTCGCCGCACCCCTCCGGCTGGAGGGGGCGTGCGCCACCCGCGAGCTGCACCCCAACTTGTGCGGCTTGGCAGGGGCGTTCCTCCGCCTCCACCTCGCTCTCCGAGTCGATGTCCAGGCGGCGATAGCCCGTGGCGTCGGTGATGTAGCGGGGCTCCGGCCGGCCCCGGCACAGCCATCCGAGTACCGACCAGGGTGAGCAAAGCAGCCACTTGACGACCCCGAATACCTTCCGGAGTCCCACGCCGACTGCCCGGCAGGCCGTGGCCATTCCGTGCTCAGCCAAGTCCACGATCTGTGTGTGGTCAATGGCCGCGTACTGGTCGACGTGCATGGGATGCGCCACTGGACAGGAGGCGCACTCGACGGCACGACATAGATGCACATTCCCTGTCTCCTCGAGGTTCAGCCGCCACTAGCGACTGGTGCACCCCAGGACCTGCCCGATCTTGATGTTGAGCCCGTGGCGGTCCAGTCGGTACCGGTCCGCGAAGTTGCAGCTGATGCGGGCCACCTGCCCGTGCTTGCGCAGAAGCACGTGGTTGTACGCCCGATTGGTCCCTCGGCCGCGGACCCCCTTTGTGTAGAACTCTGTCTCCACCACGCCGCCCAAGCCCGGCCCGCGCCAGCGCACCAGCAAGGGGTTCGGAGGGGGTGGGGGAAGATGGGCGCCAGGCCCATCCCCTCCGCGTCGCTGGCAGCACCGGGTAATCTGGTACCACGCCCAGCGGAGTCCCCCGGCAGCCCACAGCATAGGCTGGGCTGCGGTGTTGACGATGAAGGCCAGGGCACCCAACACGAACGTGAAGATGCCTAGGGCAAAGCATAAGACCGCGGTCTCCCACCAGTACCCAAGCATCTTAACGCCCAGGCGGTCGACGGCGGATCCAAACCATCCGCCACTCGTGCGGATCGTGCCCGGGTGGTCGGGGGAGCTTACCCACGCTCCATAGCCCACGACCTCGAAGACCCAGGCTGCGAAGCCCCAACCGGGACCCGGCCCTGCCTCTGGGGGCGGTGTAGGTGGCGGCGGCGGCGGTGGGGGTTCGCTCCGGCCAGCCCACCAATGGGGCAGGTGCGGGACCCAACCACTCCACCCCCAATACCCGTCCGGCCCACGCGGCAGGTCAGGCTCACCATCGCCCGTCCGGTTTCCCGGGGCGGACGGCTGCCCAGGCGCGCCCGTGGGCTCGTTGTTACCTCCGTATGCCGGCGTAGCTGGGCTGCCTGTGGGCTCGCCCTCGCCTACGCGCCCGATGCCCGCGGTCGTGGTCGTTGTGGTCGACCCTGACCGCGGCGGCGGTGGGGCGCCCGGCGCCCCCGGGGGCTTGGCCTGCGGCCCTCGCCCCTTTCCCCCTGCAGGCGCGGGCTTGGCGGGCGGTCCTCGC